CGGTATGGGCGGGGCTCAGTCTAGTGATCTATATTCAAGTCTATGGGTTTTTCTGTGTTCAGCCAACCTGTGGACGCTGTCATGAGCCGCCTGTACGCCGGTGTCAATCTGCAGCACTGTTTTGTAATCCACATAGGCCTTCCGGTAGCGCTCCAGTGACTCATAGGCCATGGCTCTGCGCAGCAGGGGCTTCAGGCAGAAGGGCTGCAGCTCTAAAGCCCTAAGAGGATCAGAGTGATGCAAAAAGAGAGCGCTCACACGTCCAGAGTGGGTCAGGCACATCAGAACTAATGAGAATGTGTTAAAGTACTTGCTGCAGTCCTGTATACAGTCGGTGCTGTTTCCATCCTTCAGGTAACAGGCGGCTCTGTTRGAGTAGAGAATAGACAGGTCTTCTGGACTGTCGATGCCTGCAGGGGGAACAATTAGAGCCATCATCTGACAGATCAGAGCCTGTCTCATGTTTGATCTAGAAAACAGGCTGAAGCCTGGTCACCAGTTCAGAAAATGTGTTGTTTTTTGTGTAACAGCGTGGGTCTAGTTCAACTTTTAGGGACAGAAACAGAAGCAGCTGTTAGCAARCTGGAAAACTGAAAAACTGATGCTCACGTCAAAGTATCATATTTTAAGACATCTGTGCACAGAGCTCTCAGCGTTTTCCCCTCCGTCAGCCACCACATCGAGTCCAATCGTTTTTAACTCCCCGGTGTTTCAGAAAAACAAGCTCCTGTCGTTCTTCAAGAGGAAAAGTTGGCCGAGTGCTCTTAAAKGTGCAGCATCACTCAGTCTTCCCTAAAAGCTGCACACGACCTCCATCAGCAGCTCGGGTTTGAACCGACACTTTGAGTCACAGCTAGAGTTATCAGAATAAAAGTGAAAGTTATCTGCACTCGTTACAGCCGAGTCATGATCCATGAGTAATTCAACATTACAGAGAAGAAGCATACTCTGTCAGTTTGTCTCTAAAACCCATCAGAAGACTGATATCAGCTAAATGATATGTTGTCTGTGAATTTGCAGCATGAATGCTGAATGACTGCAGAATAATGTGGAATAAGCTGAAGCAGAGATGTTCAGGCTAAAAGTATCAAAGGATAGCTGAAAGTAACAAAACAAAAGTAGTTAAAGAAGCAGTAGGCTAGTGGAAAGTATCCAAAGCYTAGCTAAAAGTAGYAAAACAGTAGCAAAAAGCTAAGAATAGCATTAGGCTTGCTGAAAGTAGCAAGACTAAAAGCTAACCATAACAAAATACTAACTAAAAGCTAAAATATCAAAAAGCTTGGTAGAAGCTACAGAAAGCAAAAGGCTAAACAAAAGCTAAAAGTATTAAAAGGCTATCTAAAGCTAAAAGTAAAATTCTAACTAAAAGCTAAATGTAGCAATAACCTTGGTAGAAGCTACAGAAAGCAAAAGGCCAGCTAAAAGTTGCAGAAATCTAACTAAAACTAGTTAAAAGTTAAAAAAAAAAAAAGGCTAGCCAAATAGAAAACCATAGCTAGAAGTTAAGAATAGCAATAGKCTAGCTGAAAGCAGCAAAAGGCTAATTAAAACGCTAAAAGTARCAAAAGGCCAGCTAAATCTAAAAKTAACAAAATTTWAAAAAGTTAAAAGCATGTGAAAAATCAGTAGAAGCTACAGAAAGCAAAAGGCTAGCTAACAGTAGAACAGTAGCTTTAGCTAAGTAGCAGAAAATAAGTTTGTGGAAGCAGATTTTCCCAGAAAACTATATATAAAAGTGTTTTTGAAAGAATTAAAGAGAGTATTTCTATGGGGAAAATACTTGGACAGACAGTAAAATAGTTTTGAAAAATATAAAAGTTACAAACAGGTCACAGCAGCACCCATCATCTCCTAAAAGAGCAGTAACCTTGACTGGAAATAAAATTAAAAAAAACAACAATCATTCACACTAAAGTGTCCCACCTTCTTCAGCACATCCATCAATAGCCTGACTGTACTTCTCTAAGGCGTCTCCGAACTGGCCGTGTTTGAAGAGGTAGTTCCCCTCATTCTTGAGTCGGGCCAGGTGAGGAGGCAGAGCTCCCGCCGGAGCATCCAGGTAACTCGTATCCGCTGTGGAGTCGCTCCGCTCCTCCGCTTTACTCTTTTCTCCCGGTGTGCCGTTGGCCACCTTCTGTCCTGGAYGGCTCCAGGGTTCTTCTCTGCTGGTCCTGGTCCCGTTCCCTGCTGCCGCCACTCCTCCGCTGCCCGGGGGTTTCTCCTGCGCGTTGCCCATAGCCGCACTCCCTCCGCAGTGCGCCCAGGCTCCGGTGACCGGTCCTCCCTCCTCCTCCTCTCAGGTTCAGCAGCTGCAGCTTCTTCTTTTCAACATTATCGCTCTGCAAACCTGTTTGTGGTGCYTTACTGCCACCTACTGGACTGGAGTATGGATCAAGACATTAAAAAACTCTGGATTCATACAATTAAACTGTTTTCCTTTATAAATTTAATTACTTTATTGTATATGTTGGCTGCTTTATCCCCCAGAAGACCTGATAAGGTTAAGTTTTTAGTTTTGTTGAATAGGTGCTCAAAGTGAATTTTTTATCAACTCACATGACTATTTTACCTGCTCAAGTGTTTGTTTATAAAGCTTCAGTGAAACTTCGTTTTTTTATCATCTTGTGATTTAAATAACTTGTTTTTTGTAACAAATAATTTAACCCCCCCCCCC